CAACACATAATTAAAGAATTAAAAAGGAACCAAAGAATAATTAAGAAACGAATCGAACAATTCAAGAATTCAGTACCCAGAATAATAACCCTAGTAGAACTTGAATTTAAAGAAATTGAATTTTGGATACAATCTAGGATTAATAACCCGAACACTATAACCTGTTTAACTTTAACAGTATTAAGAAGTAAATTAAACAATCAGGACTTATATGGCCAACTGCCAGGAATGGATAAACCATTTGGAACCTGAACAAGAACTGAAATCAGGAAACTACAATATAACCTATATCAAGAAATCAAAAGCAACAACTATATCTTATACTGAAGAACGACAAGAAATTGAAAACAGTTTATTATACAAAGAATTCAATAAACCAAAAAAGAATAAAGATCTTGAAGATTTTGATAAATATTTAATATTATAGGAGCAATAACACTCGCAAAACTAAAACCAGAAGACTTTGAACATAGATATTGGCTAAACGATTTAATATAAAAACAATTGTGAAGTGAATTAGAATTAACACTAGACTATAACTTAAGAAATTTTAAAACTATTCAACTAACTTTAGAAAAAACTGAAGATGCCAAAAAAGAAATAAATCAAAAACTACAAGAAATAAAACAAAAATATTACCCAGAACAATTGAAAAGGTTATATCTAGCAAACCAACAAGGAAGCTACTATTAAATATCAAAGCAGAAATAACTAAAAGCAAACTTGGAATATTAATTGACAAAATAATCGAAAAACTTGTAAAGGACCAAAACTTAATTAACGAAGAAAAGAAAGAAGAAATATTAACAAAGATAAGAAATGCGGAATCAGAAGAACCAACATTTAAAGAAGAACAAAAAAGAATAATAAAATATTTGGAAGAAATAACGTTCAAAGAACAAAACAAAACTAGAAATTATCACCAGAGGATTGACACTATAAACTGGTTAAGAAAACAACTTTACGAAGATGCATTACATCATTGCATTAATTGTAATTTAGGCTGGAGATATTATAACTTACACGACTGTGACTACGACAATAAACCCGGCAAAGAGTTAAGAAAATTATATAGTATAACAGTAAAGAAACTTAACAAACTGATTAAAGAAAATTCTGAGAACAAAAATCATATAATACATTCTGAGGAAATAGAAAAAATAATCAAAACAATAAAGAAGAAACAAATATTTGAATCGAAAACCTCAACATACATTGAAGAAAAGGAGAAATTAATCAAAGAAATTAAAAACTTGATCGGAACAACCTCAACAGTATACAAACTATTGAAATTAAGAATTGAAGAAAAATTAAAATGAACAACTCAAACGAATCTAATGGATGGACCCAACAAGGACCAAACTACTGCCAATGGTGCGACGAACATGTTGAAAAATCTGAAGAACATAATTTTCAGACCATAAAAGACCAAGAGCTTCAAAAAATTTCAAAAGAAGAATTTAACAAATCAATTACCGAAAGAACAAAAGCATTTGTTAAATATACTGAAGAAAAATTTGATAAGAAACGAGAAGAGATTTTGAGAAGACAAAGCACAAGAGAATTCACGTGCAGAATTTGTCACCAGAAAGAACATACAGATAGATATGCCCAAACCAAGAATGCTTTTTGTGCAACAAAAAAGGCCACCATTCAAAAGATTGTCTGAACAAAACTAGACCAGACCAATCAAGTTATAATCCGAGAAGATCTTATAGTGACCCAAGTAGCCAAAATTGGAACAACCAACAAGGATCATCTTGAAGAATATTTATTTGCAAGTTTTATAGAGAAAACCATAGGAACGAAAACTGCAAGATATATAGAGTATTAAGGAAAACGGAAGTCTTCTATGCGGATGCAATACAGAAGAAATTTTGCTTAAACGACAACAACATAGAGAATGGGCCTTATACTCATAAAAGCGTGACCACCATCATTGCTGCAATTGTAATAAACCTACAGCATCTGAGAATTTATACTATCCAAGGGCTGTATAAATCACCAATAATCTTTGAACCATATTTTTACCAGAACAAATGATGTGTAATGGATGTTACTGGGAGTACCTTGAAGAACTTGACGTCAGAGACGAACGAGCACAAAAATATTATCAGACCATAGGACAAAGAAGACTCGTGAACTGCTACTTATGCGGAAAGCAAAATCTCAAGAAAAAGATGGAAGACTGGCAATCGCGATTCTTCTGTAATAAAGAAGAAAAATTTGCAAACCTTATCTACCAGTTAGAAGAACAAATGACAAGTGATGAAGAGATAATGAAAAAAATCCATACTTATACCCGAAACCAGACGAACATACACTACCAGATTAATGAATCAAAAATCAGAAGAATTTATAAATATATGACTGAAACAAATCAGTGGGATTATAATAACCCAAATTTTAGAATCATTACTAATGATCAAATAGATGATATAATGGACATAATGAATTACCATCGATACTACCATGATGGAGACCAAGAAATAATTGGAAACGATGAAAAATTGGAATCAGACCAAGAATTAGATGAAGCATTAAATAACTCACTATATATAAACGATAAAGAAAAAAGAATCGAAGATTTTGAAGAATTAATGAAAGAACAAGCTTTCGACCTTTGTAAAAGATGCTTAATGCCCAAAGAAGCAAAGCAAAACAATAAAGATTACTGAAATAAATTCTGTAATGAATGCTTAATGGAAATAGAAAATGAAATGATCATAATAGAAAAAGAAAAAAGAATCCAAGAAATAGGAGAAGAATTAGGAAATATTAGAAAAGAACTAAGAATAGAAAAACACATTGAAGAAGAAGAAATAGTCAAAATATCCTGCAGAGAAAAACTACAAAATAAAATACAATGGTACGGAGAAACTGAAGAAGGATATGAAGATAATAATGAATTCAAGTACGAAACACAAAACATCGAAAAATTGGACGAGTATATTGAAGAAATTACAAGAGACCAGTACCAAGAAGACATATCTCAAAATGCTGCGGACTTAAGGAAATTAACATTAATTGTCTTAAACTTTCAAATGAAGGAGAAAAAGAAAACCTAAAAACAAGAGTATCAACACTTGAAAAATCAACCCTAAAAACGCTACTACAAATCGAAACCCTAGAATCAGAAGTAAAAGACCTCAAAAATGAAAATCATATGCTTAAAAGAAGAATTGAGCACTTAGAAGAAGGTGCCAGAAAAACCATTAAATTTAGCACAAGCACGTCAACAAATGACAAATAATTTAATAATACCATATTTAGTTTATCATATAATTAGCCCATATTATTTATTTATTAAAACAATATCTACATTATATCTTATCACAAATATTTATCTTGGCAAAACGCCAAAACCGAAACAATACAAAGCAGATCAATAGACAATAATAAAACAGAAAATATAAAAAGACCAATAATTAGACCAGACCAAGACCATGCAAATGCATACAGACAATACAAATCAAAAGAATCACTACAAAAAATATACAAGAAACTCTCAAAGAAATACTAAAGCTTGTAACAACTGTAGAATATCAAGAACAAGGTGCATTTACGAAATCGACCAACAAATTTGCAAAAGCTGTAAAGACTCAAACCTAAAGTGTGAAAATACTAAACTATATAAACAAAGAGGACCATTGAAAAAATCTAACAACAAAAGATTTGATTGAATACTAAAGGAAACTGTTAACAAACAATTGAATGACCATATTAAACAAATCCAACGCAATTAACATAAACACCCAAGGACCAAAAACACACTCACAACTAGTATTAATATTCTTACAAGGAACATTACAAGAAGTATACCAGACTAAAATACAAAGAGATAACGACCTACAAAGAAACCAACTATTAATAGGAAGCTTAACAAGAAATTCTATAACCTATATCAATATACAACACCAACTACTGTTAAATGCAGCAAAAAGAGCAAGAATAAACAATCACAACCTAGTATATACAACTCTAGGAGAAGTATCCCAACTAAAAAACAGAAGAGTAACACCTGAATATGTCTATGACCTAATCAATCAAAGAATAATCAGATTAACAGAAGTGAATGCCTAGAACGAAACAATATTGGAAAATCAAAATAAAAGATACCTTAGAAGAATATAAAAATTTAATATTATCAAAACAAACAAATATAGAAGCAACAAATCAACGATTATATTATAGGACAAAATTAATATCTTTGTCAGTAAATCAAGAACTATTTGAAGAACAAATAGAACAATTAGTCACAACAAAGTTCATTGAATCAGACATACTAAAATCAATTAACGAACTGGTAGAACAAATTTAACACTGGAACAATTAGTAGATCTATCACTACCATTAATCAATGCGACCTTTTTGTGGATGAACCACTTAACCATAATAGCAATAGCATACGACAGAGCTTCATTACATTTTATACTATTATTAAGAGATATTGTAATAGTAATAGGAGTTTGTTATATAATAAACAAAATAACCAACACTATAATAAGCTACAGACAGATTGGACAACAGGAAAACCTTTTTAAAATAGAATTTAATGACTTCAGAGAATAATCAAGATACCAAAGAACAAGCAGACCAAGTAATCAAACAATATCAAGAAAAACCACAAGATTTAATTGACCAAGACATATTCATAGATCTAACAAACACAGAACTAAAATCACAAATAATAAGAATACGAGACTTATACTCTTGCTCACAACTAAAACTACACGATACAAATAAAAAAGAAAACCTACTTACAATACTTGACGAAATCAATAGAACTTCAACAATCCTATACGGATCAAAACAACTTGACATAATTGATTTAGTAGAATTAAAAGAATACGAACAAGATTTATTAAAATTACAAAAAGACTTTTTTGAAGAATTCCTATATACAGACGAAGAATTTACAGAAGAATTAGAAACAATTCAAAATAAATACAATTCAAGCAATATAGTACTCCACCCATCAATAGAGAAAAATATTAAAGAAATAACAAAAGAACTCAAAAGAATAAAAGAACTATTAAAAGTAAATAAACAGACAAATCAGAAGTAGAAACGAAGAAAGACAACAAGAATTCTTTAGAAACCAATTTAAATATATCTGGTTTTTCTCAAACAATTTATCAAGATTTAATCCAATAAAAGAAATTTTAGAACAAAGAACGAAACTCCAGATAATCCAGGACATAGAAATATTCTGTACAAGACTAATAGCTAGATTACAACCGACAAATAATTATAAAATAGGAGCTATATTAATACTATTACAAGCAATAAAGGACCTAGCACCAGCAATAGAAACACCAACAGGAATAATATTTAATTATAACTCAAAGAAAACACAAGACCTATATATCAGAAAATTAAATATACTCCAGGTACAACTAGGATCAATAAACGACAAAATATTTG